GATAACATTCAGGTCCTTACAAAGGACACATATGCAGAACCAAAGTATCTACAATGCAATCCTTCATCTGACAATTGCTGCACGGAAAAGGAGACGCAAAGGATTACGCAGCCCTTAGCGTAAGTACTAGCTAAAACCATTCTACAGGCTCACAGGAGGTTGAAGGGAAAGCAGAATTTAAATTAAACAAAGAGGAGCCCAAATTTACAAAGAGGAAGAATGCCTGAGATGAAAAAAAAAAAAAGCCAGCTGATAACTTTTGAAATGCAAAAAGTATATTTCATGCTAAAATTCAAAAAATGAAACCACAAGGAAAATGCTAAAGTTGCTATTAATTCATTACCATTTATAGCCAAAAACACTCATCATTTTCTTTGGAGTACCCCTAAAGTGGCTGAGAAGAAGCAATTTGCTAATCAACAGTATACTAGCTAACATCTGATCCTGCTAGTACAAAAAACTACAATGAACAGAATTTCTTCCAAAAGCTATTTTCCTTTCCACAGTAATACAATCAGAGAAGAAAATAACAGCAAAAAATCTTTTATACCTGTTATCTAAGGAATGTCCAGTCAATCTTTTGGTCAGTCTTAGCCAATCTTTCACTAAGAACTGTAGGGACTTATACGCTACCATACTCAGAGGGGTCGGTTCTCCAATAATGGAACAGCTTGGTAAATCCTATTTCCTTTTAAATGTCCTTAGAATTCAGTCAGTAGCTGGGCATGGTGCTCACACCTGTAATCCCAGCACTTTGGGAAGCCAAAACTAGGAGCTTAAGACCAACCTGGGCAACAAAGTGAGATCTCGTCTCTACAAAAAGAGTTTTAAAAGTATCCAGGCATGGTGGCACACACCTATAGTCCCAGCTACTCAGCTACTCAGGAGTTTGCAGTGGGCAGATTGCTTGAGCCCATGAGTTCAAGGCTAGAGTGAGCTATGATGGAGCCACTGCACTCCAGCCTAGGTGACAAAGAGAGACCCCATCTCTTAAAAAAAAAATAAAAGAATTTGACCAATAATCTTGGCAATAGTTATTAAGCATTTCTTTCTCACTTTTGGTTCCTTTGAAAGTCAAAAGGAGATAACCAAGACATTTCAAGGACATAAAAATCTACTGAATTTCACCAAGCTGCTGACCTAGTAGAAATGAGACATCAGGTATTAGAAAGCAGGAGGTTAGCAACTGGCCCCCAGGGTGAGCCACTTTGGTAAGTTTTACCACTCTATAACAACTTCTACAATTTTCATCTCTCTCTAAATAATTTTAAATCCCGGTTTTCCATATCTATATAATGGAATTCTACACCACTAAAAATTCTAAGCTGTTATTAAGTAAAAAAAAGCTAATTACACATAAGTGGCAACAATATACTCCTGTTATATTAAATATGTGAATATTACATATATATAATATATATATATAATATATATATATTATATATATATATATACGCGCACACACACATACACACACACATAAGCCTGTGCATGCAGTAAGAAACCTTGGAATGAAAAAGAAAACTGCAGGCTGTGTTTAGAAAAGCAATTATCTTTTACTGGGTAAAGCATTCTACGGGCAAGAGGATGAAGGAAAAGTAAGGTATAAAATAAAACAAAGAGAAGCTCTTGTAGTCTACTATAAATGTTTACCATTTACCTGCATAATGTCAACTGTCATTTTAAGTAAATCCAATTTCTGAAAAATTAATATAAATTATATGTTCATTAGGAGCAAGCCAGTCTAAGAAGTTGGGCTCTATTTGCTATATAAAAACTTCGGGACTCTCTTTGTTCTGTCTGTCTGGTGTTCTCTCTCTCCCCACTCTCAATCTTGCTTTCTTTCTCCCTCCATTTACATAGTTTAATTCTACTGGCACTTGTTTCCCTCTTGTGTACATCTGTCCAGAAATTATCAATCCCCACTCAGGAGCTTTTGTTTCCCTCTTGCTCACATACTAATTCCGTCTAGAAGTTATCAATTCCCACTCAGGAGGTTTTGGTAGAAGACAATCTGCCCCACAGACAGAGCTAGTGGGGGGTGGAGGAGGATGGGCATCTTCCTAGGAAAGGCAAAACCTCCAGGAGTGATGCCTCCCCACCTACACCCGAACAAATGAGCACAACACGTTGTCGGTTTCCCTTGGAGAGCTGGTTTAGGACACCAGACTGACTCCAAGGTCTGTCAGCTCTAGCGGCAAAGAAAGGACTCTGGTTACATCCTACTTGACCCTGACCCTCTTTCTTGCTCCCCTGCTGCTTCTTTTTGTAACTTTCCCTATCACCACTCTGAAATACCCTGTGAAAGCCATTCTGAACTCCATGTAGCCTGAAGTCTTTCTCTAAATCTCCTCTATCTTGGTGCACACAGTCCAACTCTGACGCTATACCACATCCAGCATTGACATTTATCCATACAGGCCTTTCGCCTGCATTTCTCCTCCTGAAGACCAGTGACTGCAGCCTTCGATGCCAAGGTAGAATGACAGAGACTTCTGCCTTTGACACTGTTTCTATTTGCCCATTAACCCTAAATCCCTCTGAGGATAACTCTCTCTAAACCAGGGGTTCCCTGGGCCATGGTAATCCATGGCTTGATAGGAACCGGACCACACACCAAGAGGTGAGGGGCGGGCAAGCAGTGCTTCACTGCTGTCAGACCAGCAGTAGCATTAGATTCTCAAAGGAGAGCAAACTCTGCTGTGAACTGTGCATGCTAAGGATCCAGATTGTGCACTCTTTATGAGACTCTAATGCCTGATGATCCCTAACCTCCTCCCTCATCAGTGGAAAAATTGTCTTCTGTGAAACCGGTCCCTGATGCCAAAAAGGTTGGAGACCGCTGCTCTAAACAATCATAACTGTGCATTTTCCAAGGAAACCTGACAACTGGTTCCCCAACCTCTCTGCCCAGTTAAGTGGGATGGAAGAAAATTCATGGACTTTGGAACTAAACAATCCTAGAATGACTCCCAGTTCAGCCCAGCTTTTTTTCTGTGGCAGTTTCCTTACCATTTACTAAGACTTGGTTTCCATACTTGTAAACAGAGTTAATAATTTCTACCTCATAAGTTGTTTGTGAAAAACCAAATGTGTTAGTTACTTGCCTATGTAAAAACCTAGCACCAGGATGCCTTTCTTTACTCATGTGACACATCCCCAGTTCTCATTTCAGCCCTACAGCTAAATCCACCAGAAAGGCCCTAACCTTGTATCATTTAGTCACATCTTCTTAAAATCCCAAAGTGATCATATTCTGATAGGTATTCTCCTTACTTACTATGAAAAGCAAAGTTTAGAAAGTGTTTTCAGCCGGACTCGGTGGCTCAGCCTATAATCCCGTGCTTTGGGAGGCTGAGGTGAGTGGATTGCCTGAGCTCGCGGATTCAAGACCTGCCTGGGCAACTTGGCGAGACCTCATCTCTACAATAAAATCAAAAAATTAGCCAGGCGTGGTAGCACGCGCCTGTAGTTCCAGCCACTTGGAAGGCTGAGGCGGAAGGTTCGCCGGAGCCCAGCAGGTCGAGGCTGTGGTGGCCGGGAGCATGCCACTGCACTCCAGTCTGGGGAACAGAGTGGGACTCCAACTCGGAAAAAGAAAAAGAAAAAGAAAGTGTTTTTAGTATACACTATGAGCAAACGATCCAAAAAAAAAAAAACCAACTACCTTGTCCTTTGTCAATTACAGAATCTACAGCTCTAGTAAAACTCACAGAGACAGACACACAGACATACCTACCCGTTTTCTTTGATACCTGCTTACCTTCCCTCTTAATAATGGACAAGATTCAGAGGATCTTCAAGATCCTCAGGAACCCTCTCCCTCATTTTTGAGAAGTCGCTTAAGAGGGCATGGCGACTTAATGACAAGCAGTTGAATAACTTTACCCCAGTTGTTAAGCCCAACAAACTGAGTGATTTGTGAAAGCTCAGTTAAGGTGGCAAGTCTGTCAAGGATCTTAGAACACTTTAAAGACATTCTGTGAATTAAGGTATGTGTATTAAATTGCCAGAAACAGTAAGATTTCACAGATCTTTATTTGGTGGATGTCTTAGGACTCCTGCATACTAGACCAGTGCCATCAAATTAAACTTTCTGAGACAGAAATGCATTATCCAATATAGTGGCACTTACATATATATGGCAATCACGCACTTGAAATGTGACTAGTGCAAGGGAGAAACTGAGTGTTTTCTTTTTATTTCATCGTAACTCGTTTAAATTTAAATAGCCACATGTGGCTGAGGACTCCCATAGGATAGTTGCAGTTCCAGACACTATGATTCTTGAGATAAATTGCAGACCCAATGAAAAAAACATATTGAGCATTAGAGGCAGAGGGACTCATTCAGACACTTTCTAGTTTGGCTGGTCACTTAACTTCCTATACCCCCATTTTCACATGTGTGAAAAAGGATTAATATCTCTACCTTACAGAGTTATTCTGGGAATGAAGCAAGATGAAGTAGCATACATACAGCCTGAGAACAGCGCTCAGCACACGGGAGGAATTCAGGCCAATGTGGACTGCCTGCCCGAGTTACTTTCCAGTGTTCTTTCCAATCTGACACCTAGGGTTCGGCCCTTTCAGACACTTTCCCCAAATGACAGCAGTCTTGGCTGGAGAAACAGACTACCAGTTCAGTTCAGGAAACAATGATCTTTAAACCCTCTCCCCAAGAAGACTCAAAAATGAATGAGTAGACCAAGATGAAATCTGAACAATCTCACTTCCCTCTGACATGCTGTGCTTCCAGATTTACTCTTGACTAATAATCAAGAGGAAAGGGAAGCTGTTGAACCTCCATTCCTAGAATTCATGGCCATCTCCTTTGTGTGACAAGCAAAAATAGACCTTCGGGGGCAGAATCCTTTTTAAAAAATCCTCTAAGTTCTAAACATTGTATGTGATTCAGGAAGGTCCAGAGACTCTGTTTTTAGGAAATAGCACTTCTTCCCTCATGCCTGGTCTATGTAAACTTCAGCCCCAAAAGGTTACCTGAAGCCGCAGTGGTGGCGGTAATGGCAGGTGGTGGCTGAGAGGGACTGCTGCTCTCGGTCATGAGGCATGGGTTGCTGCCGTTGTTCTCTCTCTTGACAAGCAGCTCGGCTGGGGTGGGCAGCGGGATGGGGTGGCTGATGCCCAGCTCCTCCTCCTGGGCCTGCTGCCTTCTCAGGGCCACCTGGAAGCACAGGACAGAGGGTCATCCTCCAACATTCCAGAATCATGTGTGCAGTTTTACCAAACCCGCAGAAGCCCCGCCCACCCAAGACGCCATGATTCACTTGCTATGGAGATGAGGTCTGAAAATCTTTTTTTTGAGTCGAAGTCTCACTCTGTCACCCAAACTAGAGTGCAGTGGCATGCTCACGACTGCAGCCTCGACCTGCTGGGTTCAGGCAATCCTTCCATCTCAGCCTTCCTTGTAGCAGGAACTACAGGCACGCACCAGCACACTTGGCTATTTCTTTTACTTTATTATAGAGACGTGGTCTCACCTAGTTGCCCAGGTTGGTCTCAAACCCCTGGGCTCAGGCAATCCTCTCACCTCTGCCTCCCAAAAATGTTAGGATTACAGGCATGAGCCACTGTGCCGAGATTCTCATTTCTTTTTAAAACAACCCAGGTAACTATGATGTGCAGCCAAAGCTCAGAAATGGTTTAAAGCCAGAGTACGTGGCCCACAGCAGGTGCTCAAAAAATTGCTCGTTGCAGGGCTTGATGGTACATGACTGTAACCCAAGCTACGCGAGAGGCAGAAGAATCACTGGAATCCAAGAGTTCGAGACTGCAGTGAGCTATGACCATGCCACTGCACTCCAGCCTGGGGAACAGAGCAAGACCCTGACTCCTAATTAACAGAAGAAGAAGAAAAAAGCTTAAATAAACCAGTGCATAGAGTATGGGGGGAAAGGTTGTCTAGGGAGAATCTGAAAACTATAGAGCTAGCCAAGTAGAGGAGTACAATTTGAAGAGGAGTAGAGAAAGTCAGATAGATTAGGAAGGAAAGAGAATTGGATCACCCACTCCTTCATTCCACAAATATGTAAAGGGCCACTGTACTAAGAACATAAACCAGTAAGAATAGATTAGTTCCCGAATTACTCAGTTTAAAAGGAGAAAACGGGCCGAGCTCGGTGGCTCAGCCTGTAATCTCGCAACTTGGGAGGCTGAGGTGAGTGGATTGCCTGAGCCCGTGGGTTTGAGACCTGCCTGGGCAACTTGGCGAGACCTCATCTCTACAATAAATCAAAAAATCAGCCGAGCGTGGTAGCACGTGCCTGTAATTCCGGCTACTTGGAAGGCTGAGGCGGAAGGATCGCCGGAGCCCAGCAGGTCAAGGCTGCAGTGGCCGCTCCCGGCCACCGCACTCCAGTCTGGGCGACAGAGTGAGACTCCAACTCAAAAAAATAAATAAATAAAAAATAAAAGGAGAAAATGGAGACACAAAAATAAGCAACAATATAAGACAAAATGTGGTAAAGCCCTAGGACAGATGCACACCCAATCCTACAGGAAAGAGTCAGAGATTCCTACACATTCTGTCTTTAATGTATAGGAATCAGCCATGGGTAGTATTTGAACAGAGCCTTGAAGGATAGGATGAGTAGGACTTTGACAGACGAGGATAAGGGGGCAAGACAATGTGGAACAATCTAGAACAGGGAGCACCCCTGTTTCTCAAGGACCTTGTAGAGAAACAGTGGAGGAAAGAGGCTGGACTCTGGTGTGGAAGTTCTTGGAGGAAGAAGAAGCTGAAGGTGGACAGAAAGAAGACAAGACCGGTTGGTTACTTACACCAACTGGTCAGGAGCAAAGGAGAGCCAGAACTGGGGACTGGAGAGGACCTGAGATATGCCCAAGAACCTCTTTGTGGTCCCTCTCCAATTTAAATTATCTTAAATAACATTGTTAATGGTTGAAAAAAAAAGTTTAAAGAAAATAAACTGTATTTTTGCTTACTACATGTAGGAAGAAAAAGAGACTTTCTATTGAAACTGACTACAGTAATAAAGATCATGAAATAAAAATGTAAAGTACCTATACCTCAAATACAAGCCAAAAGGTGAAATCAAAATGCTAAATAAAAAGCACAACTATAGTTTTTATATTGTTTTAGGAAAACTGTAGTCCAAGCATCGAAAACGGATTAACGTGGAAGTAACTTTTACTCATAACCAAAAAAAACTTCAACTTAAATAAATTAATTAAGATTAATTAAGCTTCAATCTTGAAATTTCTACTATTAACCAAGAGGTTGAGAAACAGAATATCAATGACTTTGGTCAGAAATAAGTTTTAAAGCCCACAAACTTCTGAAACATATCAATGAATACTTACATCCTCACGTATACATACCCCATGCATGCCCAAAATGCACAAGGTATTTATTCCATAAACTAAGGACACCTTTACAAGGTATTCATTACAAAGGCTTTCTCTTAAAATTTCTTATCATTATTTTGTTCCTTAATATTATTTAAAGGGAGAAGATGGTGACAACGATTAGAAACGCAATTATGTGATTATTTTAGAATCATATATAAGATCAATTTCAAACTATTGTAAAATGACTAAAAAGTGGTTGTTATATGAATTTTTAAGGATTCATCTGCCACAGCACAAGTCTTCTGGTATGGAAGAATACTGAAGTTTCACATTCTAAAAGTAACCTTGAGTTGCTTTTGATGTTAACGGTACAAATAGCCTCCTTAAAATCAGTCCCTCTATTAAAAAAGTTTATTCAAAATTTTCCCCTACGGGAATATTTTGATTACATTTTGAGGGAAAAAATCTTCCAAGCATGCTCTCCATACTAAATACTTACACCAACAGGCAAAAATGTTCACAATATTTTCTACCTGTAAGTATGATTTTAAAGTCCATAAATTTTTTTGGTAAGTTCACTGAGATGCATTTTACACTAGTGTATTCTTTCCATCCACTAGATTAAGCTACAAATCAGTGAAGAAAAGGAAAACAAACTATTATCATGACTGCACTCACAATCTGTGATATGTATATGTAGTTAAAATAGTTTTTTAAAAATCTAATGTACATAAAAAAAGAATCGTTAGGCATTTGTACAGTTGTGTTCAATGTAGGATATTTACACTTCCTAATCCAAGTATCACATCGTCAGCAAACATTTCTTTGGTATCTTTTCATTTCAAAAAACCTGTCTTAAGAAGATAAAACAACTTACAGCTGGAAAGAACATATATTATTGTCTCCTAAGGACCCTTTTAGAATACTAACAACACTAACTATTTCCAATAAATACTAACTTATTAGCCTACTTATGAAGCTTTAAAAAAAGCATACACATGCACACACACATACACATACACACACACACACACACACACACACACACACACACACACACACACACGATCAACTGACACAACTTCAAACGTGGCGAGTATTTTTCCCCCTGCGCATGTTTTTAGAAATTCTTCAGCGTGCTTTAAAATATACTCAAAGTAATTTGCAACTGAATAGCTTGGGTCGAGGTGCAAATTTTTTAATGCTAATAAAATTTTCACAGTTCTCAAGATGGCTGAGGCGCTTAGTTCGATCCACTGGGGACGAACACAAAAAGTGCGCTAAGAACACAAGGAACAGTGTGCATACTGGCAGTAAAACTTATAAGTAAATCTCAATACAAGGAAGACCACGCCGCGCTGGCGTCCATTGCAGGGATTTTTCCAGAAAAACAAACAAGACTTCCCAACCCGTTAGCGGCGGAAGCAGCAGCCCAGGCCAGGTCTCCCTTTCACCCTCACCGAGTGGCCCGCGCGGGCACCCTCCAGGAGCCTCCTTAATGTAAGCGCAACTCGGCGGGGAAGCGGAGTCAGGGATTATGGGAACCCCGGAGGAAATCAAACCCCGAAGTACTCAGCTTGGAGGGCAAGGTGGGAGATCACGGGGACCCCGGAGCGAAAAGAACTCCACGACTCTCTGCTCCAAGAACCGGGTCAGAGATCCCAGAGTTTCGCTTCGAGGTGAATCCACAACCCTCACCACGGAGGGATGGTGAGGATTCCCCCCGCAACTCTCTGCAGTCAGGTGGGCTCTGGGAGCCCGGGGCTCCCATAGGGGCGAATCCAGAAGTTCTCTGCGCCAAGAGCGGGGTCAGGGATCCATCCCAGGCACCGGCGAGCGCCGGGAAACTCCGCAACTCTCCGGTGAGGGCCAGAGTCCGAAATTGTGGGGAACCCGGAGCAAAGCGAACCCCGCAACTCTGTTCGCCGGGCGGGATCAAGGACGCCGTCCCTGGTCTTCCGAGCCTGGCGCTGTCGCGGGCCCGGGAGCGCCAGATCTCCAGCGCGCCGCAGCCGTCGGCGGGCACCGTCTCGTCTGTCCAGAGCCCGGGCCCCTCGTGGCGACGGCCATGCCGGAGGAACTTTTTCCAAAAGCTCGGGCTCCTGGGCGCCCGCACTCACCTGAGCAGCCATCACGCGTTGTCTCTCGGCGATCAAGTTGCACTTCTTGCACTGGCAGTCCCGCCACATGCAGAAGCGCTTGTGGCCCTTGAGCGGCGACGCGTAGCCGTGGTTTCTGCAGCGCGCGCACTTGGGCAGCCGCGGGGACTTCTTGCTCGCGGCGCCCAGGCCCGACGCCCCG